CAACTTTAAAACATAAGATATAATTCCGTTATGATGTGTGACAGGTATTGTTTTCTTTCAATGATTTTTTTATTTTATTTTATTTTATTTTTTGGACTTTAAAAATTTGTATTTGCATTTTGCTCTACAACCACTAGATGGCGACAAAGCCAACAGTCTATCATGCTTTGACTAGTAGGAACGGAACTATTCTTTCAGCTGCAGAGAAGGGGGGCAAKAATTACTACGGACCAAAATAGCAAGAAAACACTTGGAGCATAACTGGGAGTGTTTATGCAGGCATGTCCAATAAAATCTTTTAAAAAATACTACTTCTGTACGGTGACGAAAATTTTCAACGCAGCGGGTTGCCGCTGGGCTTAAGATAACCTAAAAACCAATCTTAACACGAACTTATTTTCTTGAAACTATAGTTATGTGGGGTGAAATCGACCCTCCAGTTGTGGTTAAAACACAACCGAGTCCGGTTGAGTTCGACACCAGGGAAACATCAGAGGAACCTGCGGCTCTTCTTCCTCTGAGACTCGACCTGAACCGACCCGCTCACACAGACACCCGGGACCGGGAGGCTCCGCGAGAGGAAGTGGACACGCCACCGGTGAGAGTCCAAGCAGCTTAACTGGATTTTTATCCACTGTATCAGCTGCACTTGGCTTTTGAGAGGATGGGCAGATGCTCCACCTGACTGTCCCCCTCTCTGTTTACATTTAATGGGATGATTTTACATCCTCACATGTGACTGGCCACAAGGCTGACCGTGTTCCTGTCCACAGGCAGAGTCCAGCTGTGTGGCAGAGATGATAGAGGCTGTGGCGATGAGCGGCAGCTCGGTGAGGAGCCAGCAGCTCGGAGAGGCTGAGCTGACCTTCGGGGAGCGCAGAGCAGAGCTGCTGCAGCAGTACAGGAGCAGACCGCTGGTCTTCATGGAGAGGTACCATGTATGTATCACCAGAACKGCCTTCTCATGTCAGTGTCCTCTAATAAACACCAGTATTTTAACACAGGTTTATAAATCACTCATTGATTTATTCATTACTTTCAAAATCTTATCCTGGACCTGGTGCTGCACTGTGAAACACTCTGGCCTGGAAAACAAAATGTTTGCAAAATCCACGTTAAACACTTTACAATAACAACTGTACTTTTACATCCTGTTAACAGTCCCCCTGTATTGTGCCTAAATGTATCTTGAGTTTTTATTGTATTTTAAAGGCAATTATGCTGTTAATGGAGCTCTGTCAAAAATTATTCTGTCACCATCTTTGACAGACAAAAAAATCTATTCYATTCCAAACAGCACACCTGATAGTTATAACAGAACGGGACAGGCTCCTAACTCGGGGTGTCCCACACATCCTTAAAGTCCTAAATTCATGTATCTAAAATTAAAGACCTTAAAATGTCTTGAATTCATTAAAATGTGTAAGCTGGTTTTAAAAACATTATTCAAAGGTAGAAGCGATTAAAGTGGCAGAGATGGAGATCTCTGCCACGGATTTCCTAAAGTCTAACTTAATGGGATGAGAACATCGTCGTCGTCGAACCGACGTGTTCAACTTGCACGGGTGACCTAACTCTGGGTCCGACAGAGAGCCTGAGAAGTTGTTTGAAACTTCTCTCTTACTTCAGAATGTCGCTGGTCTTCATGGTGCACTTCGTCTATAAAACAAAACTGTAGGTTAAGACACGATTAAACCCACATTTTCAGTATTCAGTAGATGTTATTTTTGTTGAATGTGTCCAACCAAATAATTTCACTTTTACAAATACAGCTACTGAATCAGAGAGAACTGAAAATCTTTATATTCAACATGTTTCATTGAGTTTCATGGGATGTTTGGTTGTAATACAGCAGAATCCTCCAACCACAGGCTGTTATTGTCATGTTTTCACTCCTAAACTTCATTTAAGGTGACATTAAAAAGGTCTCACAAAGTCTTAAATTTGACTTGCTAAAACCTGCAGATCCCCTGTAACTAAGCATCCTGAGATTTTCTTCCCTGGCTTTGTTCCCAGGCTCACCTGAAGCCCGAGCACCTCCTTGCATTTGCGCACGTCAGCTCAGACCCGAGAGCCCAACACTACAGCCACATGGTTCGGACACGAGCGTCCGGCTGCACCAGCAGGACCAGAGTCAGGAACCAGCGTTATGCTGCCCTCAGGGCTCTGCAGGATGGTAGGGGCTCAGAGTTTCACTGCAAACTCCACCTGGAAAGGCCCCCCCGGACCGGGATTTGATCTTGTCCCGTTTCTGTTGCAGAGGGTCAGTATTTCAGTGAGGAGCAGATGCGAATGAGGGAGCCTCTGCTGTACGAACAGTACATTGGTCAGTACCTGACTGATGAGGAGGTGAGTTTTATTCTCTGATCAGCAGCTTGTCTTTACAACCACAATCCCAATGAAGCTAGGACCTTGTGTAAAACAGAAATAAAAGCAGACTACGATGATTTGCAAAAACCAAATTCAGCCGAATGCACTACAATTACAAGATATTTAATGTTCAAACAGATAAAAGTTATTGATTTTTTTTTATCAAAGTTTCACTCATTTTGAATTTGATGTCTACAACACGTTCCAAAAAAGCTGGGACAGGGTCAATAAAAGATTGTAAGAGTTGAGGAATGTTCAAAAACAGCTGTTTGGAGCATTCCACAGGTGAACGGGTTAACTGTGAGTGTCATGATCGGGTATGAAGGGAGCGTCTCTGAAAGGCTCAGTCGTTAACAAGCAAGGGTGGGGCGAGGTTCACCACTTTGTGAACAACAGCGAGAGCAAATAGTAACAGTTTAAAGGGATCCCCGATTAGTTGTAACATTAGACTTTATAGAATAAACATATATTTTAACTGTAAAATAAAGACTAAAAATACTGTAGGATGTTTAGTTTTTATCATTTTTCAACTAAAAGTTTAAAAATATATTACAC